ATATCAGGATTGACGATATGAGCCAACTGGAGATGCCAACAATGCTCGCAGACTTCACTTGGAGAGGGAACGACTTCACACCCTCTACATCACAGGATGGAAGCTGTTAGCAGGCGGCTGCCTACCCAAGTCGAGTACCAGTTTCAGACCAGACTGACCACAGCAACGGCATTCAGTGATCTCAGTACACTCAAAGGCCTTGGCAGTTCTAATTTCAGTGTATCGATCAGCAAGCCGGGGTCTAGCTAAGACAATGTCTTCCCAGTTATCTCTGATTTCCTGGCAGATGCTCTCAGCGGTGGCAACAAACTTGAACGAAGGGATGGCTTTGAGGAACTTGTCAGTCGAAACGCAGAAGTCGTAAGTCGTCTTAGTGAACTTCTCGTTGCCTTGAGTACCCGGAACCAACTGCTCACGTACGAGAGGGACGTTGAAGAAGTCAGACACCTTCTTACCAAATTCATAAACTGTATGTTGAACACTGGCGAGGTTATAGAGACCAGGTTCCGGACGGTGCTCAATAAGAGCTTCAACAGCTCGGCAAAGATCTTCAAGAGCCAACACTGGTCGATGCACATGCTCCACAAAGATACCAACCTTCTTACGAGTGAGAGCGGAATATGCCATAGCATTCACCATAACGTCACTGCGAAGATTCAGCGACCATCCGCACACAGTTCCCATACGGACACCATAAATCTTGTCCTTAGAGCCTCTATGGCTGATATAATACTGGGCTACCAGATCCATAGACTTCTTGCAGATATCATAATAGTTATGGCCCTTGTATTCGCTGTACTCCTCATTGACCATACCAGTAGTGTCACCGTACACACTAGAACTACTTGCATAAATCACAACTTGACCTTCCGGACGCTTAGCACTTAGAAAGCGCGACAAGTTATAGACGCTATTCGAAATAGAACCAAAAGCATCCGAACAGGAGCGGACAGACGGATTGCCAGCCATAAGAATAGCAACATCTTTGTCTTGGTTCTGAGCTTCATAATCACAGTCATCCCTGCTCATATACAGTATCTCCTCAATGCCAGCCTCCTTCAGAGCAACCAAGATCTGCGAGTTGTCATGATCA